AAAGGAGAAAAATAATGTCAATGGAAAATTATTTGAATTTGGATTTTTTCATCAGAAACAGTGGAGGCCAGAAGAAATTGGCAAAATTTTCAAAGGCTGCAACAAAAGAATTGTCAACCCAGAATCCAATAGCCTAAGATGATATCCTTCAGAAATGAAAGAGAAATCGACACTTTCATGTCTTTAAGCAGATGTAAAACATGCTGAAAAAGAATAGCTAAATGAAGTTCATTAATCATACAAACAGATCCTCCGAATATCATGAAGGAAGAATATGGTAAGTAAAAATATGGATGAGTACAACAGATTTTTATTCTCTTCTTGAGCTTTCAAATTGTTTGAAGGTAGAACCAAAAAGTTCCAATAGCACCATGGGCTTGGAACTAACCCTTTAACATAGGCATTTGGGAAACACTTATCTAAACCATAGCACTCTGTCCCTGGTCTCAAAAGCTTTATGTCCATTTCACAATGCAAGATTGTGTTCAAGTCCATCTCTATGAATTTCCCAAGTCTTAACAATTCCAACATTGCTCAAAAGTCCAAAGTCTCCTCTGAGATTCAAGGCAAATAATTCCAGCATGTAATTTCATCACGGGGTAAGTATTTCCATTCCAAAATGGAGAAAGAGAATGACAGAAAAGAGGGCTAGAGCTAAATCAAGACTAACACAGCATGGCAAGCACTAAATCCTTCAGCTCCATTTCCAGCGTCTGGGTCATATTCTGACAGGGTGTGAGACCAAAGTGCTTGAGTAGTCCTGTCCTACAGCCTAGATGGCTTCGTCCCTCACACTTCTTTCTTGGGGTAGCTCTTTTCACTGCCTGGGATTCCTCCGCAGGTGTCTCATGTTCCTGGTATTATTAGCTCTCTGTGTTCTCTGCTGCAGTTTAAGCTTCATTCTCACAGATTCACTTCACCTTGTCCTGTCAGAGGATGATTTCAGGGACTCTCATCCTGCCAAATGCTGCATAGTCTCTCAGGCGTTCCTTTGAAATATCTGTGGAAACTTCCATGACCCCATAATGCTTGAGTGCTCCATACCTGCAAAGGTAGCATCACCTGGACAATGAAAAATCTGTTTATCAGTGTGAGTTCTACTGGGGCCACTTGAACCATGGCTTGAACAGCTTTTGAGTAATTCTCCTGCCAAACTCCAACCTCAGGAAAAAGTTTCTTTGGTCTTCCTGTGTAACTATGGTGATCTGAAGGACTCTTCTCAAAGGAAACACTTCTACATTAATTTACACTTTTAAACTTTTGAGCATGTAATGCATGAGGTCTTGTTAATACCTAATTCCATTCAAAAATATTCCCTATTGTCCCAGTGCAAAGTACTTGGCTTATTTTTAAAGATGATAGTCTTTTTAGTAATTTCACTCTTCTTGAAAGCACCTTTAAACACTCTTTTCTAGCTAAGCTGCAAGTTTTCCAAATCTTTCTGTTCTGCTCCTCTTTGTTCCTAAATCTGACAGTAAAATTGGCTAAAAGCAGTTAGCAATACCCATGCCACTGCCTGAATATTGTGTTTCCTTAAAATTTCCTCCACCAGAGAAACTACTGTTAAACTCAGCCTCCCACAAACTCTCATGGCATAGACAAAAGGCTTCCCAATTCTTTGCCAAAGTATAACAAGGACAGCCTCTAGTCCAGATCCCAACAGAGTCTTTATTTTCATCTGAAACTTCATAAGCATAACTGTAAATGTTCACATTTCTATTGATATTTGATTCATCTATGAGCTCACTGGAATCATCTATTAAATTCTCCTTATAGCATAGTAGGCCTTCTCTAACTTTCTTCTGCAAATTTTTCTAGATTCCTTCCACAAACCAAGTCCAAAGGTTCTTCTACTTCTTAAGTGTAATCACAGCAATTCCACTTCTAATTTACAATTTTTTGTATTAGCTAGCTTTCCATGACTGTGACAAAATACCTGAGATAAAGCAGCTTAATAAGGGAACAGTTCTAATTTGGCTCATGGTCTCAGTGCTTTCAGTCCATGATCATTTGAGCCTATTGTTTTGTCTTTCACCTAATGTTACATACAAGGAAAATGTTCAATAAATAATATATATATAGTTTTGCTTACAATCTTTCTTGACAGATTCTTTTCCACATGCTGTATTCCAAGTTACTAATCCCTAAAGAAGCTATGGCTTTATCTTCAATGTTCTTCCTCTCTTTCTTATCTGACAAATACTTTCTCTTTAATAAAGCCTTCATGCTTTCATCTATCTATACCCAAACTCCACCCATCCATTACTCCTTCTAAGACATTCTTCAAACATTTATCATTTATCTCTTTATCCTCAGGGGCCAGCACAGTGGTTGGTGCATAATAATTCTCATTAGTACTTGTTGATTTGGATTAATGAAGAGATAAAAAGGCTAAAGATATCAGTTATCAAAGCTCCTGAAACCTGCCCTGTTTTCTTTGGAATATAATCATTACAACTGAGCACCATGCATGGTGTTTGAAAGTGTGTTTGAGTTTATAAGTAAGGCACTTACTTCTAAGTTATTGTTAGGTTCTCCTTGGGAGCCCTGAGTATGTCTCTAAGGGGTGTGACTTAGCTGAGTGTCAAGGAGGCTCCATATTCTGATCGCACAACTCCCTCACTCTGCTCCCTGGGTCACCAGAGCTGCCAGAGCCACCAGATTCTTGTGCTCTCCAAAGCTCTCAGACACATGCATCTGTGTGCACCTTCTCCTTGTGTCCGTCCTAG